TATATGTACTGTATATATGTGTGTGTGTTTAACTGAAAGAACTTACAGGAATTAAAGTGGAAAAGCGAGGGTTTGGGCTTAAGAACCAATTGTTGGACCAATCTTTGGTCACTTGTGGGCTGGATGTGGCCCGCGGGCCGCCAGATGAATAGCCCTGTATTATGCTGTAACTGGACTGAAAAAAAGTCGTTTATTAGAGTTGTTAGTAATATTTGTACATAAGCCAGCAATGGTTGGCATCACGAGCCTCCATCACTTATTTCATGAGTCTAAATGTGAAAAGTTTGGGAAGCTCTGCTTTAAAATTTTCCCATCTGCTCCTCTGTCTGAGAGGGATCAAGCTGGTTGCCAAAGATGTTCTCTGGCATTTTCCTCAATCAAGATTATCGTGTCTCCATCCATCCATCCTCTGCCTCGTAGGATTACTGCGTGCAAGTGCCAGCTTTATTAGGCCGAAACAAGAACTCTCACTTCTTCTGCTTACAAACATGTCAAACTTTAGATCTCATCTCTGCAGAAATCTGTTTTACAGACTCAGATTCAAACAATTTACTTTAGAGCTCATTTCCCCACGTCAAGCAGAGTCTGGTTATCATTTACGACATTTGGTTTTTGTTGTTTCTTCTAACAAGTATAAACAATGTGAAAAGGGCAGTTTTACCATTTTATAATCATCACCATGTGTTCTTAGTTTGTGTTTTTCTTTGTAAGCTGACCCTCCCACCCTTCAGATGGTTACTGATAAGAGATAAAACAGAGAAGTCCAGAGAGACTTTTTTTTAGTAGTTACAGTAAATAACAGGCTAATACTGAAGAAAGTAGGATATTATTAGGTTTTTTATCATCAGAGGAAAGAAAATTATATGTAAAAAGTTAAAAAGTAGTCCAAATATTTTTATTTGTTAACAAAAGACTCTTGAATTTCTGATTTTTATGTTTAGATTTCAGGGTTGAAACTACAACTTTCATATTTATTTTTAGAGTTGCATTGTGAAAATCAACAATACCACAAACATGCCATTAAAATTATTTTTTTCGGGGGGAGGGGGGTCTGTTTTATCACAGATCCTACAGTAAAGGCATTGGAATTATAAATATGCTTTATTAAACGCTCAGTTCTTCCTCACTTCTTTATCTTTCACGCACCGCAGGAGTGGGAACTGTTGATATATGTGTGCGATGGTGGCGAGTTGGAAAGAGAAAGGGGTCGTTAAAGGTAAAGTCAATCAGTAAATCAGAGGCAAAGCCTGCAAAAGGGTCGCAATCCTTCCCGCTGGAAGCTTTCAGCAATAAAAAGTGAGAAAGTCGAGGCAACGGGATGAGTCAGCGTGGGCAAACTGCAGACTAAATGTGGCAGATTGATGAGCAGATCTCTCCCAAGGACGATGCCCGCGTGTCACCTTGCCACAAATGGAATTAACATTTTACATTTCTCTCTGAGAGAGTTTTACAGCCATGTCTTTGCAGTTTGAACCGCCGGCTGCTGGGATCCAGCCCGGCTGGATTAGAGCTGCATATGGGGGTATTTCTCCTGTTTGGAGAAAAGGCAGCTGGAGGCCCAGCTCAGGGTCTGTGCTGAGGTCGACCCTCTCTGTTGTAAACACACATGGTGCTGGAGCTGCAGACTGAAGTAGAACACCTGTGTTTCCTCAAGTTCGAACCATGCCTTTTTCAATATGCGTGTTCATTTGGAAAACTTCTGAGTAAAATGTAAAAAATTGGGATTTTTTTTAAGAAATAGAAAAGTTGTTGCAATATTTCTGCAGGGTTTTAAACTTTATTTTATCTTGTATTTTACTTTCTTCCTTCTTATCTTTGGATGGGTTGCAGGAGTAACAGGTCCAGGAGTAAAACCCATCTTTCTTCCCAATGTCTCCCTTCAGAGCCACCTGAGGGATCCCAAGATCTTCCCAGCCAGGAGATCCCTTCTAGATCTGCTCCAGGCTCTCCTGCAGTGGGATGTGATTGGAAAACGTTTAAATGGGGGCAGAGTTGTAAAGTAACTAAGTACAAATACTTTGTTACTGTACTTAAGAAGAATATTTAGCCGACTTTTTTACTTCTACTTCTTACATTTTCACACAATTATCTGTACTTTCTACTCATTACATTTATTTTAAAAAATGCAATAAGTAGAAAGTCGTTACTTTTATTTCATTTTTGCTTGTTTTCATTCCAGCTTATTTTAAAAAATAAATACCATCCATATAAACTGTGCCTCCTAGATAGAGTGAATTTAATTGTGGTTGAATGAGAAGTATAAATATATAAAACTCTGATACCGTATTAGTTTGTATACAAAAAAAATCATGTCACACTCCAGCAGGACAGAATCATTAAAATAAAAGGACTGTACTTAAGCAGTATTTGTATTTCATGAATTAWYTTATTGCATTTGGCCGCAGCRCTCAGATAGATTTTCATTTTGGGGAAAAGTTTTGTGCAGCCTTGATATGTATATAAACTGAAAAAGCTGGACTAGTGCATCCTAAATTTAATATAGATTAATTATTTTAACTTGATATAGTCATTCCTGCATTTTTATTTTTTTTATTTATTTATTTTTGGAGGGAGGTCACCTCCTAATAAATGTCCTTACAGAAAACCTAACTGCTCATTTTAAATCAATGCTTTTAAAATCAGACACTTCAAGACTTTCACTCAAGTAATATTCCTAAAGGAGACTTTAACTTTTACCAAAGTAWMTTTMYTAAYATACTTGTACTTTTACTCWAGTAATATTCCTAAAGGAGACTTTAACTTTTACCAAAGTAAATTTTTTGTAAGATACTTGTACTTTTACTCGAGTATCACTTTGTGGTACTTTATACTACACTGAAGGGAGGTTCCCATGAGGATTTCTAATCAGTTGCCTGAACCACCTCAGCTTACTCCTTTCACTGCAGAGCAGCACTGGGATGATGGAGCTCAGGCTGAGCTCACCCTGTASAGCAGAGGAGCCCAAAGTGGGGCCTGTGGGCCAAATTTGGCCCACCAAGTCATTTGATTTGGCCCACCAACAGTTGCCAAAGTTACAAGGTTGTAACCTATGGAGGACCAAACCTATCATTATTGGAAATAAATGTATAAATATATAAC